AAAGAAAAATTGTGCTTTACACACGCAAAATCTCATGTGCTTTTCTAAACGGTGTGCCTGACTAGCCCTGAATAGAAATCCTCCAAGCACTTCTCAGAATAAGTTAATCGGCTAATGCAGAAGCGCTGCGTTTCAATTGAATTTCAAAAAAAGCTTTTTTAAACAGGCTTTTACAGCAGAAATTCATTTCCAGCATTCTGGAGGCAGAAAGCTTCTTTGAATCCATTTGTATTAAGAGAGAGTATTGTTTCTGCTACAACCAAAAGTTTCTGAACACCAGAAATAAATCCATGTGTTTGGTAATTTGTTTTTTCAAAGTCATGAAATGGATCCCTAGGTGGTGCTGTGCATAAAATGCGCAGAATAAGGTAGGAATGATGACATTTCAGTCACTATGCTCAAGCTGATTCTGAAATAGACCTGAGAGTTCCTATCCACTATAAAGAGTAAATGCATTATATCGGAAGTCCACAATTTAGTAATGACGATCAAATTCAGAGAGAACAACTGCTTTTTACCCACAGTATGCTCTGACTTCAACTGAACATCTAATAATCAATACTTGAAGCCATATTTAACAAAATCAAACATGAAGCAACAACAAAAGTGGAAATGCAGCTGATTTGAATGCTGGAGGTGGAAAATTTGGTTCTTAATTTAAGCCCAGATTATCAATATCTGCAAAAAATAAAAATTAAACTTCTGATCATACATGTTTGTTAGTTCTTGTTGAATTAAACAAAACAAAATAACTTACGATAACGGCCCAAAAAACGAGCACACCCAAATTTGTATGTTATAGAAAAATATTGAATACAAATTTTTAAAATGGAGGAAAAATCAAAAGCAAAAAAATGTAAAAGATTTGTTGAAATTTTGTAGGTTGTAATTTATTTTTGTAATATTTTGCTTGAGTTGAATTGTATTATCTTTCAATTTCGAAATATGTTTGGTGACTAAAATATAATTTTAATAAATATATCTGTTTGAAAAATCTGTTTTGTTTAAAAGCACCAAAATACATTGCCTATATTCACTGAGAAAGGGATACAAATATTCATTTTCAAAATGGGGTCTACTCAATTATGCTGAGCACTGTATTTACTATATTGTATATTTATATATTTTAAAACAATAATTCATGTGAAAAGTGCATTAAATGTACATATTTTAAAAAGTAAAGAAGCATGACATGACAAGCAGATGCTTCTGTTCTCTTTGCTATGAATAAATACAATAAAATGACTAAAGCATAAAGCCAAAATTCTAAATTCTTAAGCTAAAAATGAAATTTTACTGTCTGGTATAGGTACAACGTTCATGACGAAATTTCATGCAACAGACTGTTCTCTGGATAACACTATATACACATCACCGTCAAAATGATTAAAATTTATAATAATTTATATTTAAAATTAATTTATGCTCCATTCTTCCTGATATAGTTTACTCAAATTTCACTCACTATAACTAAATTAGTGTACAATGTAATGTAATGTATTTTTTATTTAATGCCATGTCACCAACCAAGGCTATTTTCATGGTAAGAACATTTCAATAATAAATATACAACAAACAAACAAATACATAAATCAAATAAGATTTTTAGAGCTAATACTTTTAGCATTAATGCTGAAAAAGTCCTTGAGCACTTAGAGATTTCATTTCATAAAAAAAAAAAATCTTCTGGAATCATTAAAGCAGGACAGTCCAGTACAATGTGTTTTACTGTTAGAGGAATTGTGCAGTACAAGATTAGTGAACAAGTGAAGAAATTGGAGTCATAGACAGTTCTGGTGTAAACTACAGAAACGTTGTCATCCACCATATTACACTTTTTGTGTAATGATGCTTCCATGAATGCATACCAGTTGTACAGTTTAAATCAGAGTGGATTGTGTGCATGAAGAAGTTAACCAATGTACCATCCAGTGGCCAACTTAACTAAATGATCCATTTATGCAAGTAATGTAATCAATGTACTGCTGAACACAGACCACCAACAGCACATACAATACTAATAACCATACACAATATATTGAATTTTTAACAGTGCCAGTTTAAACACATTTGAATTAGACATATGGCTTCTAAGCAGTACTAAGGCTGTTCTTCATTACGCTGGCATTTTGGTGGTATTTCTTCAGTATGTGTAGGGTGTACCATGTTGAAAGTTTGCAAATTCTATTTGATGTATCGAGCTACTCCCCAAAGTTGGAGTCCAGCTGCTCCACTAGCATTTTTCTTATAAGCAGATGTAATATCACTTTAGTTTGTCAAAACAGTGATTTGTTTACAGTGATACCACAAAAATGTGTTCATTACTCTGAAATTTATTTTTTCTCTCTCACACTTAAGTCGTTAAACAAAACAGCCCCTCATTAATAAAAAAAAAACACTTTGATAGAAATTTGAAACATAAATATCAATTCACACATTCCCACAACACCATTCAGTTCCAACTAGAAAACCCTTAATCACTTGAAATGTTACGTAATTAAAGGAATAATCATGTAATCACAGCTCCAAATAGCTATCATTTTAATGCCGTTTTATCAATGCAGCCACAGTACAATTACTGCAATCAGAAAATGGGCCCCATTATACACCTGATGCAATGCAATAAGGCGCAAGATGTATTTGGGGTGATTTGTTGCTATTTTCAGACCTAATTTTCAAATTGTTTAAATAGCAAATCCATTTGCACCACTTTGTGGACTCATGGGTGTTCCAGTCTAAAAAGGAGGTGTGTTTGGGTGCACTGTTGGTGCGTTGATATTTTGAAGGACTGAAATAGACTACGCCATTGACCACTGGTCTAAAATCCAGTGCAGAGCACATTTGATTTGCACCTATACAGGTCTAAAATGCACACACATTGCTTAATACATACAGGATGTACATCAATATACAAATATCTTTACATATGAAAATAATTAAAGGACTAATTAAAAGGACTAAAAAAATATTATTTTCTGCATAAATATGAAAACCGCCATGCCTTCCTCATGTTAGGGGGATTTTTTCAGTTTATTTAGACAATTGGCATTTGTAAAATGTTATTTTCATTAGCAGTATTGTTTATTATTTGCATATTTAGAATAAAACAAGTGTGTATTTGTCCGTCGGGTTTAGAAGAAGTATGTGTCTCTATATGGGGCATAAGAATAGGACGTGTGTTTGGATATAACTCTATAACACTTCGTTTTTATTGTTCATTTATTCATTTGCTGGAAATTAGAACTGAATTTAGAAATAGATTTGAAACAAATCTTTGCGCTTAAACTAAATTAAAAATGTAGATTAATGGATATCTTCATTGGAGTGCGTTTCCTTATCCACAAAAGTAAAGTATTAAAAGTAAAGGAAAAGTAAAGAGGCTGAATGAAGGAGGCTTGTTCTTTATCCTTGCGCTGCAGATGCCCTGTTTAATGCCTGTTATGCATAAAACACCCATAACTCATTAAGAGAATAAGTACAAACCTGTTAGGCTGCATTTACACTGCAGATCTTGATGGTCAATTTCAATTTTGTGATTGTATCCGATTTCTTTGATGACCTGCTTACATCATCTTTTTAAATTGACTCATATCTGATCGTCTGCATTTACACAGCACATGCCAAAGGTGCAATGACCAGGAAAAAAAAAAAAAAAACTAGCAGGCGCTGACTAACAGCTGATAATTAAGAGTGCTCTTTTCTCTAGTCCTGCATGTAATCTGTTTGCAGCTTTTGACAAGCCGTTTTACTACAGTTTATGACAGAAAGGTTCTCATTTGTCCATATTCTTTTGATATATAGGCTTTTTTTTTTAAACCTTTAGGCATCTTAATGTAATGTCCATGGCGTGATTTATGCATGTGATGTATGCACCAGTTTTATATTAGTTTATATTGGTTATGTGGCGGACATTGCGCTCTCTCGCTCTCGTTAACATACTTAAATACTTGTGCTATATGACAATAAAAAGCTGTTTAAGTCCTTGTGTATGAGATTTAAGGTTTGGGACTCTGCTGAAGTCTGTTCTGAAATAAAAAAAAGTGTCAAACTTGACATTATTCGATATGGTTTTTAATGATGCGTGACTCGCATTGACAGGTGAAAATCCGATCTACCTGCTTACACTGCAGACACGAGAACACGGATCCGATTCCTATCGGAAAAATTTCAACATATGAACAAGGCCTGAATCTGATTTGAGTAAATCGGAATCCATGTGATTTGTTCCTGCTAACACGTACATGGGCCATATCCGATCTGTGCCACATGGGAGAAAAAAAATGTAAAAATTAAAAAAATAAATAAATAATCGGAATTAAGGCTCTTGAACAGTGCAGTGTAAATGCAGCCTTAGAGCATGTGCCAGGCGTGCAGAGCATATTTTTCCATCCTTAAAATAGCAAAAGTGGATTCAGATACGCACTTAATGCTTTTGCACCATGCGATTTAGACTTTGCGCCTAGATTGTTAAAACAGAGCCCTAAATGTTTATAAGCAAAACCCAGAGAATTTATCAATAAGAGATTCATTTGACACCTGCAGGAATATTCTCGGAGAACTAATAAAGTATCCAAACCTGCACCTGCACTCAGAGTCTTCCAAATGCTAATTACTTGGTGAGCACAGACTCCCAAACCCCCCCCCCCCCCCCCCCCCCCCCCCCTCACATACATTACATCCACCTGCAGTACAGTACGAAATCCTTTAGGGATGACACTTGGAAATAGTTAAATGGCTCCTGGGACTCGCTGATCCACTCACAGGAATGATGATGGGAGAGCATAAGTAAATGTAAACCACTGCTGTACTCCCTGGCCTCCATTAAAAACCCCAGGGCTCCCTTTTAGCCAGCTGCAGGAGCCGTGCACACAAACACTTACGCACACCTGCATGATGGATGCGTCCATTGTGCTGGAGCTCATGAAATATAACTGGCTGCATGTAATCCCTGTTATGAAGCCTGTAATACATTTGCATAATCTCCACACAAATTCACTTACCTGCGGCCATATGGACGAGGACACTCTGGTTTGGACGCAGGTGCCCAAAGTCGAAAAGCATCATGTAGGCGGTGATGTAATTGACAGGAAGTGCTGCCGCCTCCTCAAAGCTCATGCCCTCGGGCATCAGGAAGGTGTGTGTGCTCGCCACCACTACTACTTCCTGCCACATCCCGCTCCGGTTCAGAACCAGAACCTTATCACCCACCTACACATGAGAAAACGAGATAGAGGGAAACATTGAAGGAATATCAGGGAAAAAAAACAGCCCTGGAATTTTTTCTGAAACAATACGCCTTTCAGCAAGCACTGCAACAATGTTGAGTGTATGTCAATGAACATTCACAAGTAAGTTGATTTGTTCGCTTGCTGTTTTGCTTAGCACTGGCGTTTTCAGAGACGTTTTTGGCCAAACAAATGCACAGCTGCGCAGATCAGGGGGATCTCTAGTGTACGTTTTGTTGTCGTTATCCTTCATGACGGTTAGCATACCTCAACGAAATATTTGAACCTGCACTGCTGGCCATCTGCACTGTTTTGCTAATCTTTATCTTGGAGCAGATAAATGTGTACCATTTAGAGCCGTGTGATAATATCTGGTGTAACTGAAAATCCTTCAATTACCTTGAAGACCCACACATACACACACACAGAGATACAGGAAAACTCATTGAGCAGACTTCCACTACTTCCTTTGGAACGATGATACACACACACACACACACACACACACACACACACACACTTAAGCCACCCTAAGAGTGCTTAAAAAATGAAGGTAAAAAAGCTACAATGACCTGTTGCACACTCAAACTACAGTTTTCATCTGTTTTAGTATACACATGACACAACATGTAACAAATCAACAGTGAGGTGAATGCTTTTAAATGGTTAGCTCACCCCAAAAATGTATTTGTTTTGAATTACTCACCCTCATGTCATCTCAATCCCCTGAGACCTTTGTTTATGTTAGCCACAACAATTAAGATATTTAGATGAAATCCGAGAGCATTCATCCACCACAGTGAGCTACTGTCCCGAGACATTTAAAGTCTAGAAAGGGGACCAAAACCATGGTCTAAACATTCCATGTGACTTCAGTAGATCAACTGTAATCATGCAAAGCTCAAAAAAGAATTTGTGAGCCAAAAGGACAGTAAAAACAACTGTTCTCCAATGTATTCTGCATTAGATGATGGTGAATATTTAATATGAGTTACATGATACTTATGTGTTGCACTTCTAAATCTGATTGCAATACATCTTACTACCAGTGAGAGTAAATGCTCACAGAACAGCAGACAAATGCGAATAAATTTGTATGATTAAATTTAAACCATCTAATGTTTTTGGTTCTCAGGTCCATTGCATCTACTGGTGCTCCTATTGGCTGTTGCTTAAGAAAGTCACTATTCATTTGCATAAAGTTGAAGGATTCTCAACTTTGTTGCATTGTTCAACACGCCCACCTGCTCGCCAATGGTCACTGTCGCTCGTGTAAACCACCGAAAAGTTGCTCAAGCACACTTAGTGGAAATGAACGATCGATTGACACTTTGCCGCTGTGAGTCCCTCGTAGTGTAAACGCAGCTAGATACTTCTGCTTGAATTTCAGAAAGAAGGTCTACACTCAAATGACATTTGCTGTGTGTTTTTTTTTAACTGAAACAGCAAAATTCTTGTCTATGGAGGATGAGGGAAACTGCTGCCCTGCACAGTTTAGTTCCTACCCTGCTCCAACACATTCACCTGTAGTCTTCAAACAAGCCTATAGGACTTAGTAAGACTTAGGAATTAGTTTCATTAGGTGTGTTTAATTGGGGTTGAAATTAAACTGTACAGAGCTGAGTTTGACACGTGGTTTATATATCTTGGTGCCCTGAACAACAGAAGTGGAAGCATTTAATAGGGCTGCATCTTTAATCAAAGTAATCGAAACTGACATTCAGAACCTATAATCGATTTAATTTTTTCAAATAAATTTTTTCAATTACCTTCCCTACCAAGTGTGGAGTCACGTGACCCCACTTTGTTTACACTTTTGCGGGGCACCGTCAGCGTCAGTCACAGCGAGGGGTATACAACCTTGACCCCTCAAAAAAATTAACTACACGTCACAATGATACACAGTGCAAGCTCTGTGATTGGTCAGCTTGAAAGTGTTGACAGGTGTAGGCGGTGCAGAGAGGGCAAAAAAAAAAAATTCAAATAAATGAATAAAATAATTGTTCATTAATCGTAATCGAGGTAAAATGTTAAATTAATCAAGGTTTTGATTTCAGGACAAATCACCCAGACCTCCAGTAGTAGTTATCTCTTGTTAACAAACTGGTCAAGCTGCATCATATTGGTCTATTAGTCCAATTGACAGGTACAATTTCAGTCAGACCAAAGCATTTGGTCCAACTGTTGCACCCCACTAACACTACATGAGTAAAAAAAGCTCTTTAAAATATCTCTGCGTTCCACAGAAGAAAGTCATCAAGGTTAGGAGCTACATGAGAGTAAACAATCCCTTTAATCACAACCCCAACAGCAGTCCAAAACTGTAAAATGCTTGTTTTCAGATTATTGGTTGACTTGGTGTCATTATTTCTCACCCTATTGAGCCACTCAAACAAACAGATTGCAACTCTCTCTTCACTTGGAATCGTTAGCGCCAACAAATGGCACACTTCACCTTCAGGCAGTGCTCAAATTGCAGAAAGGCTTTGACACTGACTGATCCGACCTTTGTAACAAGCACAAAACCTCTCAACACTTCGCTCGTCCTCCACTTTAGCATTTTTCCCCCCAATCAGTAGCATTATAAACATCCCACTTCCGCCAGCACTCTTTCCACGTCTATCACTTCTTTTCATCTCTCATCTCCCCTTCTATCAGGCTCTGTCTTTCTTTATTTCTAAAGATCAGTTCCTCTCATCAGGGGGCAGGCAGATCCTTCAGCCTCAATGAGCTTAAGACAACACACACACATACACATAAACATGGCAGGAAAGCACCTCTTTATTTCTCCTTCCTAGGATGCACAAACTTGGCACAAATATCAAGCAGAGCTCCACACACACACATCATTTCTCAAAAGCAAAACGCAAACACTAATATACCCAGCGCTTCCCTCGCAGACAGGAAGACAGAGAGTCTAATAGGCCCAAGGGACGCATGGGCATCTTTGTCTATACTGTCCAATTAGAGAATGGGACTACTCCCAAGTCGATTTGTCTGTGCCCCAGTTCATCTTTCCTCACAATTTGCCATTCTCTCTCCCTCTCTTTTCATCTTCCATGTCTCAGTTTCGCTTTCTGTCATTCTTCTTCCTCTTTCTCCTTTAATTGGACTTTCTGCACACCACAGATGGATCCTTCAAGCCTTGGTCAGGAACTGTGATCATGATTCACCATATGGAGAAATCAACCCTCTCTCCCCTCCTTTTCCCTGTCTCTCTCTTTCCATCCAACTTGCAAAACAGCCACACTTGTGTCACAAACATATCATACTTGGTATTCAGTGCTTGCACGAAAACAAACACACTTTTCAGCTGAGGTTGCAAAGATCAAGGCCAGCCGAAGGTCTTGTGAGATGTCTGTCACTGGCTGTGACTCTCTCCCGTCTCCTCCTTTCCTGTAAGCGTGCACGTACACACACACACATGCACACGCTTTGAAGGGTAAAGTGGCTCTCTAGTGCATTAGGCTCATGCAATACATCTGTCGGCGAACTTCTAATCTTGTTGCTGTGGAAATGAGCGGGATTCTGCCTCCATAAAGCTTTGCTGTCTCCCAGCACTGATTTTGTCCTTTTTATCGGTTTGTTTGTTTTGTATGTGACGGCAGTAGGCCTGTGGTTAAGGCTCTGGGCTGCAAAACACAAAGAATGGTGGTTCAGAAAACCCAAGCGGGGCGGAGAGATATTGAGATCGCAATCCTGTTTTTATCACCACTGTGCCTTTGAGCAGGACTCTTAACCCTGGCATGCTCAAGGTGGGGTGCAGTCCATTCAAATGAGACCATTGCTTTTTAAATGATTGCATCTGAAAGCAACTAATTTTGCAGTAACAATTAAAAACTCTGTATTTAAACTACTGGATAATTTACTTTTGGGATGTCCTGCAACACAAAGTGCTTTTATTAACGGCATAAACTGCAGCTTGAAACTTGTTGCTTGTGTTTGCACACGTTAGATACCAGAGACTGAATGTGACTTAATGTTCTGATGTACATTAACTTTTTTTACTAAAAAGTAAACCATTAGATGTGGGAGATGCATTACCTGCTACAAGAAAATGAGAAAAACATCAAGGTGCAGTTAAAGATACAACTCTGAGTTACAAACAAAACATTCACATCTAATAGGAACGAACTACAAAGAAAACATTTAATACAATAATACAAATAAAAACTTAATCCTCTCCATTTCAACAAATTTTTTAAGATTCACCGCTCTCAGCCATAAACTAAACTTAAACTATATTTTGAAGTCAGAATTATTAGCCCCTGTTTATCCCATTTCTGTTTAACGGAGGTAAGTTAACATTTTTAAACGTAATAGTTTTAATAACTCATTTATATTAATTGATTTATTTTATCTCTGTCATGATGAAAGTAAATAAAATTTGACTAGATGTTTTTCACGACACTTCTATACAGCTTAAAGTGACATTTAAAGGCTTAACTAACTAGGCAGGATAGGGTAATTAGGCAAGTTATTGTATAAAGCTAATATATATATATATATAATATATATACATAAGACAAGACTTTCTCAAGAAGAAAAAATATTATCAGACATACTGTGAAAGTTTCCTTGGTCTGTTATAAATCCTTTGTGTAATATCTTTAAAAAAAGGAAAAAAAAATACAAAGGTAATACTTCTAATTCTGACTTGAACTGTACATACAGAAACCAGTGAGTACATAAGAATATAAGGGAAAAACTATATACATGTCAGAGAAGTACATAAATTAAGAGTGTCTTATGAAATTATTATGAAACAGATCAAACAGAAAAAGTAATTTGTTGTCACCTATATCTGCAAAGACTCTCCTAAGTCAGTCTAATAAATGACTTGAGTTTTAATAATGGAGATCGAACTATCATCTATTTGTTTCTACTGAATAATTGTTGAAATCGTTGCTCTTTTAATTAAGGTGGTGAATTGGTACAGTCGAACAACGTCTCTAAAATAGTACAACCATTGTTGACAGGAGA